CGACAAGATGGCACCTGAGATCAGTACCAAGCTCAGCAACGGAGGAAAGAAGAGAGCGTACGTGACGTTCCTCGCCGGAAACGGAGACTACGTGAAAGGAGTGGTGGGTTTGGCTAAAGGTCTAAGGAAAACTAAGAGCAAGTATCCATTAGTGGTCGCTGTGTTGCCGGACGTACCGGTTGATCACCGGAGACAGCTAGTGGAGCAAGGCTGCATCGTCAAGGAGATTGAACCGGTTTTCCCGCCGGAGAACCAAACTCAGTTCGCCATGGCTTACTACGTCATCAACTACTCCAAGCTTCGTATTTGGAAGGTACAAATACATGATAGTGTCTAGGATTTAGAGACCGTAAAAAGAAAACTACTAAAATAAATTTAGAAAAAATATCGTTCTACTTAAACAATATGTTTCTGACTATGATAAAATCATACAATTGAATTTTATTTTCTGATGAGATTTATAAGTTCCAACTAAAGCTTGAAAACTAAACTAAATAGATCCTTCACAATGCAATAGATTTAACATGTTAGTGTTGTGGTTGTGCCACTATCCATGTTCAAATTCGATATAATATATGTTGTTAATTAAAACCAAAGTTATTTTCAGTTATTTTATTTTCAAGATTTTCGTATTGCCACCTTAATTATTCACATAATATAGCCAAGGCTCGGACATTATTTTTTATTTTACTTTGTCCTTACGCTAAAGCTATATTTATTTTCCTAAGTTCTTATGCACGTAAAACTATATAATATTAAACATGTGGATGCAGTTAGTAGAGTATAGCAAGATGATATACTTGGACGGAGACATACAAGTGTTTGAGAACATAGATCACTTGTTCGATCTTCACGACGGCAACTTCTACGCCGTTAAAGACTGTTTCTGTGAGAAGACATGGAGCCACACACCTCAGTACAGGATCGGCTACTGCCAACAGTGTCCGGACAAGGTGACGTGGTCCGAGCCGGAGCTTGGTCCTAAGCCACCGTTGTACTTCAACGCCGGCATGTTCGTCTACGAGCCGAGCCTCCCCACTTATTACAACCTTTTGGAGAATCTCAAAGTGGTTCCTCCCACACCTTTTGCTGAACAGGTAAAACAAAATCCATGCACCTATATTATATGATTATATACATAAATGGGGCTGCCTCAATTATATTAGAGGTCTTGGTACCTTTATATATCTAAAAATGACCCCAAATATATAGTTCAATGGTTTTTACTCTAAATAAATAAACATGATTCACTAAAATATCTTCTTCTTTTTTTTTTGGGTATAATTACCATCAAATCCTAAACTTCTAAATATATCATAATTTCTAGGTTTATAAAGGTTAGTAGAAAGTTTAGGGCTCCTTTGGAAGATGTCTTCAATGATTTGGTAACCTTTACTAAACTTTTATAATCTTTTTTTCATTCTTCTGGAACTTTTACAATAGTGAAATTTTTTTAACAAAAAACTTGTTTGATTTATGGTATTTTCTTAATAAATAAATATATTAAAGAAATGTTTTTGGGGCTATTATGAATATTCAAAACCATTTTATATTAAACCACTTACATAATTTGGTCTAGTGTCAACTTTTCTAAGTCATAGGATTTAAAGTACTTGGGAAAAATAAGAGAATAGATTTTGGGGTTTCATACACAGAGAACAATTTTGGGAGTCATGGACATTTCCACCTCTAGCATGTCCTCAAATCCCGCCCCTGTATAATATATATATGTATCCATTATAAAATTAAGTTGACTTGTGTGTGTTTTATAGGATTTCTTGAACATGTACTTCCAAGATATATACAAGCCGATTCCACCGGTATATAATCTTGTCATGGCCATGCTCTGGAGGCATCCAGAGAACATAGTGCTTAACAAAGCCAAGGTTGTTCATTACTGTGCAGCTGGTGCTAAGCCTTGGAGGTAATATATTTCTACTTATCTTCTTCTTCATTGTTAAAAGTTAAAACGTAAAAAAAGTGAGTAAAATATCTGAAATGGCTTCTCTGTTTTGTATCAGGTTCACAGGCCAAGAAGAGAATATGGAGAGAGAAGACATCAAGATGCTTGTAGAGAAATGGTGGGACATTTACAACGACGTGTCTCTTGATTACAAGAACGTTGATGTGCATTGTGGAC